TGTTCGGCGTTTTCCACTTGCTTCCTCCAGTTGGTTTCGCGTACATTGATGTGTTGAACCCTATCATGGATCGCCGGACAACAACAAATTGATGTTAACTTGTTTCTGTAGTCCGCCTGCACACAAAGGTAGGTTGCGACCGCCGAGGGCCTCGTTGTCACAAGTACGATCAAAGTGTCAATGCGCACGTGATGGGCAGACACCTGCGTTTTCACGCAGATACTGATGCACACAACAAAGGAGGATACATGCAGTTAGCGCCCGCAGTTAAGAAACGCTTATTTCAGGCCCAGCCTCGAATTCTTATTGTGGGCTACAAACTCAGCATATGTCGTTCAATTTCTTATGTCAAGCTTCTTATTTTTTCGTGCCGCCAAATCCTGCTGAATTTCTTATATCGGTCGCAATTTCTTATTTTCTCTGCTTCCTCACATTACACAACGTTCAAATTAAACAAATGATTCGCCCTCACGAGAGCTGGCGGAGAGCACCATCAACACCGTACAGCAGGCAGCATATTCGTTGTTCGCAGCCTGTCTGGTGTGCTGTGCCAGAGCCGGAGCGCCGGAGGGGGCGCCGCAAAACACACTCACTCCCCCCTCGTCGAACAAGTAATAATGCACTATAGAGTTTCACTGATTTTTGACCCCACTCGTGGGGTAATACCACCACCAACAATACACAACCGCCAACACAAGACCAACCAACCCACGCACACATCAGCCAAACCCCCCGAAAAAGACACCGCACGCCACGCACACCATCAGTAGTAGTACATCAACGTTCAACCCCACCAGCATCGAAGATTGACGTTTTGGGGGAAGCTTGCAACAACACCCCCCGCTCCAAACAAAATGCACTACTACTGCTGCTGTTGTTGTGGGTCGAGGGGTTCGTTCTCGAGGACTTTCGAATAAACACATGCATCGAGTGTCCCAGAAAAAGAAGCCCCGTCTGCCCACAGAATTGTTGGTAAGTGCGGGGGTGGGTCCTGTTGCAACAAGAGAATTAGCATATTTGCATGTAATTTCCCCGGGTCACTTTCCGGGAAAATAAGATCTAGTCTTCCAGGGCGATGAGCTATAATGTGACCTACGTTGTCTTCTTGTTGTATACTTTTTAAGTCCTGCGTCCACAGCATGCAGCAGTAAAACAGTGTATCGAACGAACAAAAGTATCAGAATTTGTCCTTTTGTACATTAATATTTCGAGTTTCTCCTCTCCCTGTCTCTGTTAACATCTATCTCCCTGGTTGTCGATCGTGACCTTCGCAAATAAACGCCCGCCCTTATCAATGTTGCACCAATATTCAGTAAGCTTCGCTTAGTCACCGCACCGAATGCCTATTTTTTGAAACCCACTTCCCAACTCTTCCAAATAAATGTAATTCACATAAGTTAAGCATGTTAAACAGCTACAGGTCATCATGTACAAGTTGGCATGCACGGTTCCTTGCCTGCGCGAGTATATCCTTCCATGTGGTTCGTTCACCTGCTACATAGCTTTCTTGAACAAGCGAAAGAAAATCGGCATGACCTCATTACCCACAGCCCTCTCGTTCCGTATGGGTCCAACCATTGGAAAACGGAATGTTCCCATTAAATCTTCCCACGGAGGCATACGACAAGTACAGACGCACAAAAGCAGGCCCTGCATGCACCGACGGAACATTGTATTCGTAAATATCTGAAGTGCTGTCTTAACCCCCACCGAATTACTGCTCGGCTATGACATCCACAAGAACGAGATACGATTTCCGACTACAGTAGTAACGGCGCCACCCAAATCAGAAAAACAACTTATTTTTGTGTGCCGACATAGAAACTGCTGTACGGGAGCTGGACAACTGCTGGATGTCCCACCAACTGCAGGCATGTTCTGAATGGCATAATCGCAACAGGCACATATCGTGACAAGGCTGACTTCAATTACACAACAAAGATTCGTAAACAGCAGTCGCGTGGTGGGAGTAGTTTTCCCCACGTAACGTCTTTTGGCTGAAATTTCTCGCACGTGAAATTCCTTCTCCGCGACATTTAAGTGCTAGAAAGACAGCAGGTGTCAAGTTTTTCAACATCTCCGCTGCCACTGCTGTCTTCAACAATATGACGTCGTCACCCACAGACCTCTCTGCCCACCCGCATGCATGCCCGCTTCTCCGTGCTGACTCTGTCTCCGTCTGTCTCTGTCAATTTTTTCGCCCGCCCTGTGATTTCTAATCTACCCACCCACCCCCTCCCCCTCTATGGTCTAACGACTAAGGCATGCGTTTACACTCCACCCCCCCAAAAAAAACCTCTCATATTTCTCACCTGTAGGAAACATCTCTCTCTGCCGTTGAGGCCGGACCACGCCTCCTGGTAGCCCTGCACGAGTGCCGCCAGGTCTTGCTTCGTGAAGCCACCGTCACGATAGAGGTGAATGCTGTCCTTGCCCCCGCGGGGCCCCGTGGAAGGGTCCTGCCGGATCAACAGGCTCCCGGTGCGATCCTCCTGTGGATATCGTAAATACAATACAACGTTTCATGGCAGTTGTTAAATCACAAAGCACAGGTGAAAAACAAGAAAGAAATCGATGGTTGGGGCAAGATTATTCGGGTCAGACCACAATATTTATAATGTATGGACAATCAAGGCAGATTTATACTTTGGTAAAGGTTAGTCTACGTAATAAGAATTTTCCAATTCCCCACAAAGGAGATTGCAGCATTAGTCTAGACATTCGTTGCCTGACAAAAGTTCGTTATTTTGCCTCCAAAACATAATTTCGAAGCATGGAAAAAATAAAGAAATGCAGGCCTCCAATCAATGAGGAAAGGTCGTCCTTGGCCTTGGAGTTGCTCATTGTCGGCGGTGGCGCGAAGCGCCAAACGTGTATTGAAAAAACGTTTCCTTGGAACAGCTTTTACCATGTTCGTATATGTGTTCTTGCCATATATTCTGGCGCCAGTCTACACACACCTGACCTCTCGGTGCATACACGAAAGTTAATGTTTTTGACGTATCAGCCGGCGTCACACGGGAATCTATTTATTATACTATTGTGCTGTGGCGAGGGGGGTTAGCCGTCCCTTTCTCCCTCGTCGACCGTGAACTCGAACCTTGTATTCTCACCACGAGAATCGACCGTTTTCCACAGCAAATTTGAAAAAACAAAATGACTCTAGCTGTTCGGGTTCCGGTTACACTAAGAACCCTTCTTGCCTATAGTAGCCAACAAGACTAAAAAAAGGGGGGGGGGGGGTAATGCAGAGATCACCTTCATAAAAAAGGCTACAGTCTTCCAACGTCTGTCGAGGACGATTCCTTCCCTCATTTCACAAGCGAGAGAATTAAAATCTAACATCACCGCTTGCAACAGGACCCCCCGCACCAAAAAATCTTTAGGCAGACGGAGTTCTTTTCGAGGGAAGTAGAAAAAAAACATAAACCTTGTGCCCATTTCTCGGAGTTAAAAAAAAACAACGAGTTCCGGGTAGTAGGTGAAAAGCCGAAGAAAACTTGCACTTAAAATAACAAACGTTAATAGAAAGGGACACCAAGGTTATGGTACTTACTTCTCCCCGGTTTCCCCAATTTTTCGAAAAAACGAAACTAACACCAATTGACCGACAATGGGGTAGAAGTACGGTAACCTTTGTGTCTCTTTCTACTTTTTGTAATGCAGTGTTTTCTTCAGCTCATCAGCTACCCAGAGCTTTTTATTTCTTGAAAATCCGGCAGCAAAAAAAGCCACCGGGACAGATTTAACTTGGCGTCCGCCAATCAGCTGTCTCCATTTAACTTGGCGCCTACTTGGCGTCTTCTCTATTTTCGAGAAATTTTGGCAATTAGACTACACCGCTTTTTCTTCTGCGCGTACCGCATTCGAACCGACCAGTTCAGAGACTGACACACATCAGGCGGGAGCCTGGGCGCTGCAACTGGCGCATACCAGACGCCAACAGCAGCAGAGACCACTCTGGGTTCTGTGTGCACGATGTTTCGCAATGTCAATCCACACTGAGTGTCCATGACGAGCACGCAGCAAGCACAGGCCAGAAGAGCTACAGCGAGGAGAGAGAGGGAGATCGCACAAACACGCACGCACGCACACACGCGAATGTTTATGTCGAGCTACTACTGCAGCACAGCAGTAGTACCCACACCAAGGGATCCATGCATGATATTATATCATCTGCACGCCCGTCCTCTCGCCACAACACTTCGAGTATCGTGATGATGATGCTCTGGCACCTCCTCCGCGTTGTTTTTTTTTCGCTCTCTTGACTCCATCTATCGGTAGGTTCTTCGGAGTGAACACCCCACCCAAAGCAATCCCCATCAATCATCCATCCCGACGGGTCGGTTTGTTGACAACCCGCATGGCAGAATATATGCACGGTGATTTCTTTGCTGTCCCGGTGACGGCACCTCTGCTCTGGTGTCTCCTTTCCTTTGTTGATTCATTGAGTGAGGTAAAACATTTTGAAAGCGTGTGGCCCGCAGATGAATGGGTTTCACCGTGTATTTGGCGGGCTTCGCCCGCGTAATTAACTCCTAAAAGCTCTGTCCCGGTACATTCAATTTTTGCCGAAAATCCGAGCAAGGATCACAAATTTTCAAAGGTGCTTGAGAAAGAACCCCCTCCGCCCAGAGCAAATTTCGAGTGAGGGGGGGCCTGTTGCAGGTGGTCTATTGCTATTTTGTCCCGGATTCTTACCTGCCGATAGCAATGGATTACTTGTATTATGCACAAGAAAAAAAATCTGCAGTAGTACCTCCTACAACGTACCGTACGCATATATATATACCTACATGCCATGATGATGGTGTACCACTACTTCGTTACATAGATAGACCGCGGTGGATATTCTTAATCGTTGCGCCTTGTCTGTATTTCGGGTAAATGTGTCCTCTGTAACGCAGGGCATGCGTAGTATGTATGGTCGTGAGCTTTTTGTGTGTGGTCGGGGTCGTGGTTTGGTTTGTGTGTTTGGTTGTGTGTTGTTTGCACCGTTCCTCAGGATCGTCGGCAGAGTCGGTCTCTTTCGAGAAAAAGACCGCAGGTCATCGAAAACAGGACATGGGCCAAAAGAGGCTCAAAGTCACTGAAAAACCATCACTGCTCTGCCGACTTTCACGTCCTCATCGGAATCGGTGGGTTTGCCTTGTTTTGGATAAACAAAGCGGAGACTGACCTATAGAAATGATTCTTTTGAGTACAGTCATGGTCTATTGGCGGGGTCCGACACACGACTATATAGTCTAGAGGCCTAAAGGGGGGTATTTTGTGCTGCGCCAATCGTGCAAAAATGCCGCTTTTACCAAAAACATGAAAAAAATCCAAGTGTTTGAGGTGTGAGGCGAAATTCACGGTGGGTAATCCTTGGGACAGAACCACACTGCTCTAGCACATGTGGCTACACTGCCACCCAACATCCACGACGTATAGTACTCCCGTACGCCCACCAGTCGTTGGTATATAGTGGGGTTGTGTCCCTCCGAGGCACAAGCAAGCAAAATTCTAAATTCGCAGCGAACGCTCACGTTCATGTAGATCACGAGTTCGATTCTCACCTGAAAGATATTTTTTTTCCAATTTCAACATTGCTTCAGTATTTTATTTTCTCCTTTTCTTACACACAGCAGGTGATTCGTTCAGTGTTTTGTAAGAAAATACACCAGGCATCTCATTTCCCATGCATGTGCAAAATCACTTTGTTTTTCTTGAAATACAAGTGCATGGCGAGTTTATATGTGGTTACAGAAGTTATGTTGCTGACCAAGGTGGAACAGGACTTCTCTGCACTAAAACAATTGCTCTGGGCGGAGGGGGGTTCTTTTTCAGTGACTCTTGAAAAATCACAACGTTGTGCCCCTTGCTCGGATTTTCAAAAACTTAAAAAGTCCCGGGTAGCTGATGAGCTGAAGAAATTGTTGTTAGTTTTTAATTTTTTCTTAGAAATGGGCACCATATTGGTTCATTTCGTGTTGCCTTTTGTCGTAAAACGGGGGAGAAGTACCATATGACTGACTTTGTGTCCCTTTCTAAAACTGTTTTAGAAAAAAATGCAAATTTATCTTCAGCTCGTCAGCTACCCGGAACTTTTTTTAGTCTTGAAAATCTGAGCAAGGGGCGCAAAGTGGTGATATTTCAAGAGTCACGTAAAAAGAACTACCCTCCGCCGAGAGCAATATTTTTAGTGCGGGGGTGCTGCTGTTGCACGTGGTCTATATCGGCTACTTCACGTACACACGCGTGTTGACACACAAAGCACCAGCTATTTTAGTACCGATACAACGCTGCAGCTCTGGTTTGTTAGTAATTAATTATTCAGTATTGCTGGTTATGCTTCGATTTCAGACCAGAAGAGAGTAGCTGTAGCTTTCGCGTCAGTCTTTGGTTCTTGATCAAGCTTTTGGTTGATTTATTTTCCCCCCAACACAGAGTAAAATACAACACAACTCAAACAAAACACGAACACACATTTTCTTTTAAGAGAGAGGGGGACCCATCTTGTGCTGCTCATGAGTGGACTCGAAACAAGGGGGGGGGGTGTACTCATAGTCGTGCATGCCGTAGTCGTTAGACCACTGACCTCGCATCCCTACAAAGCCGGGACGGAGCGGGAGAGGGGGGAAAGAGCGAGAGAGATAGGGGAGCTGTGGGGTGTTTCTTATTCGACACACTCCCCCGTTACCCCTCGTTTCTTACGTAGTAGGGCAGCGGTCGCCGCTGTTTCTTATTGAGACATTTCCTATTGGGAGACCCAGATTGAGCTATTTTCTTATTTTTCGTGGAAAAGTGAGCCTGAATTTCTTTTAAAAATATTTCTTAATTGCGGGCGCTAACTGTATGCAACCAACAGATATCCGTAGCGTAAGCATCAAACCTTATCCTCTTCAATAGTGGCATTACTGTAGTGCCACAATATCGAATAGTGGCATTGCCCTGAATAGTGGCATGATTTTCGCTTGCCACTGCAGTACACGCCACTATATCGGGACCACTACAATACTGCTGTAAAAGTCAGATATGAACAAGCACACCAACACACCGTCTTACCTTGGTAGCAGGCACAATAGAAGCGAGGTCGTGGGCGAGGTAAAGCAACAGCCCGTAGGCCTTTTTTAAGCACCCGTTGCTGTCTTCTGTGTAGCTCAGCTCTCGCACCCACAGGGTCTTGCTGGGCGGGCGGCTTGATTCAACAACACAACAACAAAATGACGTCCGGGTGCCCGCAAACTGGAACGCAATACGCATAGGTATGGGGGTGCGGGATGCGGCGAAACCATGCGGCTGGGGGGCTGCTACATTTTGTTTTCTGCAGTACCCCCGAGAGCGCGCCAGAGAGAGGTACTGTGAGCGAGCGTCGAGGCCGAGAGTTTACACCAGCAGCCTTCGGTGGAGAGGGGAACCCCCTGCTTCTCTCGTGGGCGAGGAGATCAAGGCTCGCTCTCTTCAGGTGATCTCGTTGTTTGGGGTACTGTTGCGGCAGTAGGGTACCAGTGTTGCCACCTTGGCAGGATGGCGTGTGCTGCTCGCTGACGTTGCGTGCATGAGAGGCACACATATGTGCCTGCAAAGCTTGGCACTATAGAGGTCATGGAGTAGCGAAGCATCAATAGCTTGGTTGAATAGAGCCCGATGCTTGGTGTCCTGTCGAGGAAGTGAGAACGGCAACGCTGCATTTTTAATGCACGATTGTGCGTGACGTATTTCACTGGAGCCGCCCGTTCGCACATCGTTTGTGGCTATTGTGGCTGATGTATGCTACAGGCTTGTAGGAGTTCAACTGAGGGGCTGCGGAACGCATGCATACTTGAAAGGTCAAAGTTAAGCCACGACTGGTTATTGGTTAGACGCCACGAAACAATACAGTTCCTTTTGCGGTATGACGTAATGCAGCAGTCGCTGGTGGCAAATCGTGTTGTTGAAGCCATGTTTCCAAACTATGAGGTCTACGAGAAAGGCATCATGTTGTTGAATTGACTCATGAGGGTCCGTCCGACCCGCATGTTCATGCCGACGCTGCAGTCAGAATACTCCATAGCTTGCATGACAAGAGGTTCATGTGTTGGTGTGCGTCAGAAGAACATCAACAGCAGCAGCACCGGGCGTCCCGTCTTAAGGTGCTTGTTCTGGCACAACCGTAGCAGTAGCCTATACTGCTGTTACAGTTGAAGCTTCTTGGCGTACTGCCCCCTCCTTGTGAGGACGGTCGCCACTGGGGAGCAGTTACGCATACAGTTACAAGTAGGGGTCCCCGAACAAGGCGGTGGGCAGCTGATAATGTCCGCCGTATGTATGAGGGGAACCCGCCTTATTTCAAAGTATCAGTCCACTTGTTGTGCCAAGAGCTTTCGGCCGTCGTATGTAGCATGCATCGGGCAACAACCGCCGTGTTCTGACCGCCGTCTGCGGGGACCCCTACATCAAAGGCGGCCGCCCGGATCGGAGAGGTCCTCGGGCGATACCTACGGTGATGAACGCCAAACAGCTTCGTTTTTTTTTGGCACCGTCGTATTCCGTGGCGTTCGGGCGAGCCGACCGGCCGGCCGGTAAACGAGACGGAGGCGGCGCGTCAACCACGCCGGTTGCCACCGTGGCCCTGTATACAAGCGCCGGTGAAATTGCTGGGCACAGACGTGAATCACCGAGTAATTCTGTACATTGAATGGCGCCGTATCGATGCGCCGGGCACATAACGGCGTCGTTGAGGGGCCCTCGCAGCAGATAAACATTTGTGGCCGGGAACCAACGGCATGCACCCGTCGGCCAATGCATGTCTGCTACATCGCAGGCGTCCTTTGGCTGCATATCCTGTCGGAAAATGGAATACATGGCATCATAGTTCTGCCCCACTCTGTTATAGGCGTGACACTTTTTCCAAACATCCCCCCTTGTCCGACGAAAACTTCAATCCGTCGATCCCCAGGGAAAGGAGCGTTGCGGAAATCCCTGGTCTGTCTCACGACAACGACCAGCCGGCCGTCCGCAGCGGCAGCGATGGCATCGTCAGCAGACGGCTCAACAGCGGCAGCAGCACCAGCACCAGCTAGAGATAACCCTGTTGCCCGCAGGAGCTCTTCCGCTCGGTGCAACGAAGGGCGCGGACATCGCGCCAATGATTCTCCACCCTTGGCCGCGGCATGTGGCAACACCAGCGGCGGCGGTGGTGGTGGCGCTAAGCTCGGTGTTGTTCGCGTGGGCCTTAGCCTCCTGGCCATGGGCGACTTCGCCGTAGCGAGCCGCCGCTCCCCCGCGATGCCCTCCGCCGGCACGCCGACGCGCGTGCCTTCGTCCACCGCTGGATTTCATCACCAGGGAGGGGGAAGGGCCGAACACGCCGCCAATCAAATCACCAAGCGTAGGGCAGTGGGGAACCGCGGCAGCGGTGAGTGCTTTGTGGCGCGTGGTGCGGGAATCGGGTTTGTGAGTGCCTCGGGAAGGGGTGGTCTTGTTGCCGAGAGCGGCGAAAGACGGCGAGCGATGAAGACGAAGGCGGTGCTGCGGCGGAGAGGTAGAGTGGCGGTTGCCGCTGTCTCCCCGCTACCGTCGTCCTCTGAATCGACGTCCGTGGCGCTACCGACGCCGATGTCGTCGTCCCCAGACGACCAGCAGCAGCAGCAGCAGCAGCAGCAGCAGCAACTCTCCGATGACCAGCAGCAGCCGCCGCAGCCGGCGTCTCGCGCGGGGATGAGCGCTGGGCTTCCCGCCCCCCCGTTGGCGACACCAGCAGAGCCAACCGCAGCAACGGCGATGAAAGCGACAACACCACCACCTTCTACCCCGGTGACCTTGCCTACCCCTACCAACGGTGCTAGTGCTAGCGGCGCTTCTGGTACTAACGGTGCCGCTACCGGTACTTTCGGCTCTGCAAGCACGAACGGCGCTGCTAGTGCCGTTGGGGCCGCGTCGGGTACTGTGAAAGCGGTGGTGGCGCCGCGGACGGTAAACGGAGTCAAAAGCGTCGTGGCCGCCGGAGGCACGAAAAGCCTCGGGGTTCTTCGACCGGCAGAAATGGGCGGTTCGCGAGCCAGAAGGATTAAGGTTAAGGTGAGAGAGGAAATGGAAGCGGTGCGGGGCCAGAAAGAATGGCGGAGGGAGCGGGGCGTGTTCCGCTTTTTCATAAGGTGTTGAGGACGAGAAGTACGAGAGATTAAGAGAGCGATCAGGATGGGGCGAAGAGCGTTTGTTTTTTGGGTGGGAAAGAACGATGTGGGGGTGAGAGTGGTCAGGCACGAGAAAGGCGGAAGGCGGGGGGGTGATGGAAGGAGACAGACATGAACATGCAAACAAGGTGGATAGAGGCAGAGGCGGAGACGAGATGGACCGGAAACGATCATCACTTGACTCGAGAGTAAAAGAACTGGAAGAGACGCCCGCAGAAAGAGGTTGTTCTTTGGTTGTGTTGGTGGAAGATGCAGGTCTACAACGAGCCACTATCTCTCTCGTGTGCCTCTCGTTCTCGACGTCCTAATCCCGGACCACACAGACCCCCACCCTCTGTTTTACCCGGCGGGGACCCAGGTGTCTGCCAAGTTCTGAGCCCAGACTTGAACATCGCCGCCCCTTACGATTAACGCATAGCCACTTATAGCGTTCTGTGTGCTTGTTGCCGTTTCGAGATTCAGACACACACAAACACGTGCAATTCTCTCCTCTGTTGTTGCTACGGTATTTGTCTTAAGTCCGGGGAGTAGCGCAGACTCGCCCATGACTCTCGTTTACAAGATCCCAGATCGTGGCCTATGGAAGCATTTTGTGTTTCCGCCGCCCTGAGACTGGCGTCTTTTCATTGGTCAGCCGGTTAGCTCGGTCGATGCTAGTAAAAATGACACACACGCGCTCACACTTGTCTGTTACATAGGATCGACTCCTTCTTCAGCCCGAGCGTTCCGCAAGGGCAGCACCCGTCAAGTATCGAGGCTTCCCCTGTCTTTGTGTGACGCATGTCACATCGTGTTTACCTCTCTCCTGCTTGCTCGCTCGCGGGGTGTTTGCTTTCTGGCAGGGGCTGTACGCGCGAGCCCGCAAGATTTTGCGGTCATCATCGCCCTCGGCTTCGGAGACCGCAGCGGCCATTCTCGAAGAGGTGCGTTCGCTCGAGTGCGGCACGGTGTGAGGCCTTCAGTGTCGACCAAACCAGCATACCGGCACTAATCAGAGCCACCGGCTCTGTATTCAAAGAGTGCAGGATGACTCGGTTATACCGTCTGTTCCCGCCGAAAACACTGGCATTGGCAATATCCAACCGGCACTGCTGAGGGGCCCCCACCGTATGGTCGTGTTGGTCGTGATGAAACACTAGGGAACACGTAGCTCACACGGTAATATCCCAAAGGGGATGATGATTATGGCCAAACTTTGTTAATATTCTGACCTTATTTTCGGGATTCCATTCTTATAGCTATAGCTGTGCAGCTCTGGATCGGAGGTTCAGATAGAAGGGAGAACACCCCCGGGAATGAATGGCGTGCTGATGCGGGAGAAATTGTGCTCAGCGTTCGCTCAGCCTGTGTGTTGGAAGTTGTGGTCGTAGAAACAAGGGAGGGGCGTGGCTATAGGGGTATTGCAGGGAGGGTGTTGCTCAAATTCCCCTTCCGTCCCCCGTCCTCCGTGTGTTGTGGTAAAGCACCCCTTTGGTCAGTTGCCCCCCTCCATTTAAGATAAGCATGATTCCTCATTGCCCCCCCCCCCCCGGAAAAGGCTCTCACCGTGGACCCTCAAGACGGACACTCATGGCTGCTGTTGGCGCGCACTCGGGAGGCGATGGGGGACGTCAACGCTGCCTCCGATGTTTTCAAGAGGGTGCGTTCGTTGATGGCGTTGGTAGCGTAAATAGGTTGCCTCTGGTGTTTTGTCTTGCCGTTAGTGTGCCATTTGTTGCTCCCATCTTGGTCGTGTTTTCCTGCTGCTGCCAATTTCGTGGTGGGATCAAACGAAAGAGAAACGATCGCTCGACGTAGCCACGCGGTCGTTTCTTTACGGCGGGGGAAAAGGGCTTGAAATATTACCCTTTTTAGTGGCGGTGCGCTTGGTATTTATTTTAGGTCGTTGCAGAGTAGGTCGGCAGCAGTAAGGTATTGAGCGTCTCCCTGTTTTCTTTCGTTTCTGGGATACGTGTCTCAAGGCCTTCCACTCAATCTCTCTCGCACTCTCCCTCTCTCTCTTTATCTCGATCGGCAGGCGGTAGTGGAATGTCCGGGAAATGCCCACCTGTGGCAATCTTGGGGTATGCTGCAAGCTAAGGTGAGGGATAGAATTTTCCGGGAATTTTCTTGGTGCTTCCTCGCCCCATCAACGATCTGTGTCATGTCGTGGGGAACCCTTTCTCCTTTTTGGACTCTTGAGAATTCAGCTTCGCACAGCAGCCATGCTCCCTGTTCTTCTTCGAAGCCCGGTGATTCTGGTTGTTTGAAGATGCGTTGCTCGTGGAAATACTTCCGGTCTGTGGCCTCCTGTGCATTTTTCACGAAGGGCCGTGTGTTTTGAACCAGCTTGGAAATCAATCGCGCGTGCGTTTATCCTCCTGTCCACCAGCGCGACCTAACCCAACCCCGCGTTCCTCAATCCACCCGATGCTTCGGCGCAGTTTGGAGACTGCGCCAAGGCGCGAATAAGCTTCTCAAACGGTCTTGAAGCGGACCCCGGTAATCCGTTCGTGTGTCACGCGTGGGCTCTGATGGAGCAGCGGGACGGGGACAACGATCGGGCTAGAGAGATCCTCGAGGTGGAGAGGGTGCTGCTGGTTGCCGCCGCTGATGCGAATATCTTCGGTTGCTTTCGTTGCTGATGCTGGTGCTGGCGCTCTTGTCTTTGGACTGTTGTCGTTGTCTTTGTGGCTTTGTGGTTGGTTGTGTTTTTTTCTTCGCTGCTGCCGCTGCTGCGATGCCTTGCCGCTCTGCGTTTGCTCGGTGGTTTCACCGATACAAATGTATTCCAAGAAGCGTAACGCGAGTTAGTTGCTCTGAGTCGCGTTTTAAGGTCGTCTGCCTGTCCCTGGCTAGACTGTACCACAGGGCGCATGCGGTACTCCTCCCCCACGTCCTTTTCGTCGTACTCACACGCATGACATAACGAGGCACCCCTCGCCGCATTTTGTACCCACCAAGATCTATGCTTGTTTGCATGCTGCACACGCATGAATATTCACCCCCCCCCCTCCCTTCCCGACTCAACACAACACAGGGCTCCCGCCAAAGCGTGGCGATTTCCCAAGCCCTCGCGGAGCTACTGGCCACGCACGGCCAAGTGGAGGAAGGGCGGGGGCTGCTGCAGAAGGCCATGGACCGCCTGGAGAAGGCGGCGTCCGCGCGCTCCAAGCGTAGCGGCGGCGGGGGCTCGCCCGACCCGAGCGCCGCGTGGGCTGCTGCCGGCGACCGGCCCAAGAAACGCTCGGCGGAGGAGGCCGAGGATGCCGACCAGGGTGTGACGGCGCTGCTGATGGCATGGGCGAACTTCGAAGAGAGTGTGAGTTTTTTTTTTTTTTTTGTGATCCGGTAACGTTCAACGATGAGTTCCATTTTTGTGGTCCAGTGTTGTTAAAGGATAGCTTTTGTTTTCCAGTGTTGGACGGTAGCGGAGAGCTTCATGAGCGAACTTGGAAGAGGGGGGGGGAGGGGGGGGGGTGCTCATAGTCGTGCATGCCGTAGTCGTCAGATCATTGACCTCGCATCCCTACAAACCCGAAACGGAGCACGCCGGGCTCTCGCCCGACCAGGCTCTCGCCTTACCAAGCGCGACCCGCCGTGAGGTATTCGGCGAGTCGTATGGAGGGTGCGCTGCGTCCTGCTGCAATATTGTAAGGGTGTTCAACTTGGAATAGGGCATGAATTTTTGTGATTGTGTAAAGTTGGGGATTTTTGTTTGCTTTCGCGCCTTGTTTGGTGGGTGGGGCAAGGGAGGAAGGAACCCCTTTTCACGTGGAGGGGGATCTCTCTGATATTGTCAAGCTTTCCAAGAGAAAGGTTGGGGTTTTTTGTTGTATATTTTTCTTAGTCATTACAGTGTTGGTAGTTAAGTGTGTATTGGTTTTAGTTTGTTGGGGTTGAAACGCCTGGACCTTCCGCATGTGTCATCAAAACGAGTGTTCCCACCTCTGCATTTATTCATCGCCCTTCTGAATTTATTAAGACCTTCACCTTGCCTAGCGTACGAATCTCCCCATCTCACCTACAACGCAAGCCTCATTTTGCCCCCCGAAACCAAGCTTGATGTTCTAATCTCCGTTCTCTCTCATTCGACGTTTTTTTTTTTTTTGTCACGCGTGTTTTTTTTTTTTTTTTTGCTCTGCGTGCACTTACTTGGTGCAAACATCATCATGCTGCTGCAGAGGGGAAATGAGAAGCGATCGTTGGAGCTGATGGCGAAAGCCATGGAAAATGAGCCTGACAACGCAAGGGTGCGTGCGAGTCCGCCTTGTGTGCGCACTTTTTGTGTACCGTGTGTCTTGGACGGTGACGAAAGAAGCCGTTCCGCCCGGCATTTTCTGTGCTGACCCTGAAGATTTGAGCCTGCGTGTTTTTCGAGTGTGCATGGCGTTGACCACGCTAGCCGGCTGACCAATGATATTCGATTGTGACTGGAACTATGCATAGAAACGCAGCATTATGCGGAGGTGTACAGATTCTGGTAATAGCCATGCGATGGATACCCTGCACATCGGGTCATCCTTATCGCTGCTGTGTCTACTGTATGCATGGAGGGGCCAACCCATCTCCCGCAGGTGACACAGCTCTCATTGTTTACTGCTCGGGCCGAATCGATGACATCGCCGGCGAGAGGAGCGTGTTTTTTTGTTTTCCCTTGTCCCCCTGTCGAGAGTCGAGAAGAAAACGACTTGCGCCGAAGGGAGGTGGCCGCGTGGGGGTGATAGCCAGACGGACCCCTGTTGATGAGTACAAGAAGGCTGTTGGCTTTTCCTCGTCTGCGCATCTCTTGATTGTTGTACCCCCGCTAGGAGTACCTCCTCCTTCCGGCTCGTGGCATGCCTCCGTTGGCGATGCTCGCGTGTCGTGTCTGCCTCGTGATCATCTAACCAATTTAGCACGCGAGAGTACTCCCCGCATGGTCGATGGTCTAGTAGCTGAGTCATGCGAAACATGAGTTCGCCCCGCCTCCCCCCCCCTCATGGACATGTTGTGTCCCAGGCGCGAGTCGGACGTGCCCGGTTCGAGATGCGCAGGGGGAACATGCGGGATGCGAGGATTTTTCTCAGCGAGGCGGCTAACCTTCCGCAGGAAGACGGGACGCTGTTCAGCATGTGGGCCACCCTCGAGATTAAAGAGGTTAGTTCGCGTATTTTGGTGCGGTTGTGTTGGTATTTGTCCAGTACTCGTCGGGTGGGTTGGTGGTTTGTGTTTTCTTCGTCGAGGTTTGGTTGCGTTCTTGTTTTGTTGTCGTGTCGTTGCTGTGGCTGTTTGCCGTGTTTTCGTGATTTACTGCTGCTATCCGTTGCGGAGACTGTTGTTTTGGTAAGCACTGCATATTGAAAATTCATATTAGTTCATACTTCGTATTATATAGAATCGAAGAAATCCAGGATCAAACCGTTTGATTCCGATCGCAAGACCCCCCCCCCCCCTGAAACAATAATTGTCGGCCCCCGTTGTCAGGGCAACCTCGAGACGGCGTTGAAGATCGCAGAGGCTGCCACGGCTCGGTTCCCGTGGGATAAGTTCCTTCTCCAGACGATGGGCACGGTGAGAAGACTAGTCCCATTTTTGTTGCTGTTGCAGTTGCTGGGGTGTTGTTCGTGGTGTTTTGTGATGATGTTCGGCACGTTTTCACCTCATGATGAGGACACAGTTTCTCGTGTTTTGTTCAAGCGGTGGGTAGCATCGTTGTTTCAATTCGTCGCTGTGGGTGGTAATGCCACCAATTGCTGCGGGGGACTCCCTGGGGCGGTATATTATTGAGTACACCCACGCCCTCGTGTCGACACACGCACACACACCCGCGGCTCGTTTTTGTGGCAGACAAGGCAATCTAGGAGTCTTTTCTCCATATTTCCCTGACAATTCCGATACCGAAGAATGTCCCGCATGTAGAGATCGAAGACAATCGCCGCAGGGGGGATTGTTGTTGTTGTTGTTGATGTTGTCTTCACATTAAAAACCGTTCCGATCTCTCTCTACCCAGTACCTTCGTATGTCCGTGCTGATCCAACACTCGACGCGGTCGATTCCCGTGGTCACAGGTTAACTTACCCTAAAAAGGTACACTCAAATAAACTAGCCCCGAGGGGTCCGCAAGTCAATAGAAATCAACGAGAGATATTCTGGAATCCTCCACTCCCTCTGCGCGCTGTGCGAAGTATCAACTGGGGATGCGCGGCAATGAAACATCGTCCTTACGTTGCGTTCCTCGTGTGCACCATACCCCGGACTGCTACAGTATGCATACGTCGAATATATCCCCGACAGATGTAGACTGGCGCCCACAACAGTACATGCGACGTAACACACAAACACACACACGCGCACGCATATCCCGTTGCATGCTGCGTAGGCCTTCCTCAGCTCACTTTTTCGCAACAAAGCTTTGTTGCGCGTAATTTTTATGCCGATCGATTCTACTTCAAGTTGTGCATCAAATCTTTGCACCGTGGGTGCAAACGCAAACGCGCGCGCACGCTCCCCCATGTGCAGGTGCATGGCAAGCTGGGGCGGTACGAGGAGGCGATCGAGTGCTACCGGCGGAGCATCGCGCTCAGTCCTGCCGCCCCCGCCTATGTGGCCTGGGCGCTGGTAGTGGCCAAGCTGGCTGAGCGGGCCGAGAGAAATGCCTCGAGCAAGAAGGTGCGGGGAGTTGTGTTTTGGGTGGTGGTCCAATAGCTTACGCACGTTTTTCTATGTAAGCAAACGTGCTGGATGAAGTATATAATCGGCTATGTTTGGGTAGAGTCCTAGTTTTTTTTTTTCGTTCTTGCTTTGCTTTCTTTGCGTAGGTGGTCTGGCTGACGGTGGTTGTTCTGCGGGGCAGAAGGCAGCAGCAACAGCAGCAGCAGCAGCAGCAGGAGCGTCGGTAAAACAAGCTTGCAGAAGAGCTCTGATGAACGTGTGTCGGCTTTGTATGAGGTCCTCAGGGGCGCTCCCAGCCTGTTTTTGTGATCGCCGTTGTGCCACTGGCACTGCTGCCGTTGTAACGGCCCCATGGTTGGGGGGAATTCAAGTTATTGCGCCTCATCTTTAGCATGTGTCTTGTCTATCTAGTTGTCTAACCAGTATGCATTTGTCGCCGCCCTCCCACGGTTGGGAGTGAACCAAATTCTTGCGCATTACTCCCTTCACTTTAACCCCCAACGTCTCTCTTGTCCTTGTCTGTCTAACCAGACCGCCGCCGGACCAAAATACGGCGTGGTGGCCGGCGATCCCGTCGTCGAGTACGTCGGCGACGCCAGCGATGACGGCACTATCCTCGGAGAGGCCTCTGATGCTGTCGCGGGAGGCTCAGGGGGGACTGCGGACGAGAACGACGGCGGTGCCGCGGGCGAGGGGGGGGTCTCCCGGACCGAGGAGGAGGAGGGGCCGCCGTCGTACGAAGAAGCAAGGAGGCTTTTCGAGCTGGGGATCTTGGCGGACCCGACGCACGGACCGCTCTACAATGCCTACGGGTGAGAGATGGAAGTGGAACGAACGGCGTTTGTCGAACGACGCCTGTAAGACTGAAAACCCCTACCTTGTACCTTGCAAGCGAAGTGGGCATCGTTTGTTCTTTTTTCGGGGGGGAGGGGAAGGCATTCCAAAAGCATAGGGCTCCATGACGACCGAGAGCAGTTCTTGTCTACGCGCGGGGTCAGCGCTGTCCCACCCCTCCGTGATCGATCTCCTTGCTGTGGTTTCCATTGCGTCGGGCCCCCACCATATGCATGTTTCCGTTTTTTTTTTTTTTTCGCTTGCCGTTGGGTGGCTGAATGTTTTTGTTCGGGATTTCCAGCTCCATGGAGGCCAAGCTGGGCAACGTTGAGCACGCGCGCAACGTCTACAAGCGGGGCATCGCGGCTCGCTGCAGCGGGGCGGTCCACGTTTGGCAGGGCTTCGGGAAGCTTGAGGCGTCGGAGGGCAACAGAGACGCGGCTAGGAAAGTGAGTTGAACGTAGTACAGGGCCTATGGTGTTGTTTATCCCATGACGCGGCTAGGCAGGTGAATCCAACGAGAACAGGATCTACGGTGTTAATTACCACCACGCGGCTAGGGGGGGTTACGTGGAGTTTGTATTATAGCATCTTCCAGGACCTACGGCGTTGGTTAACCATGGAAAGTAAGGGTTTGGCGGCGGAGTTAAATAGTGTCATCTTCCGAACCTACGGTGTTTGTTTAACCACGGAAAGTAAGGGTTCTGCGTGGAATTTGTTCCGTCTTCCAGGACCTACGGTTTTGGTTAACCGTGGACAGTAAGGATTTTTGGTGTGGAATTTGTTCCATCTTCCAGGACCGAGCAACAGTACGGCACGATAGGCGGTCGTGCGTGCCCCGCTTGCGACCAGCTACCTCACTCGTCAGTCGTTGAGCCCCGGTGTGGTTTTGCGGGGCTGCTGTTTACTGTTGAGCACTTTGCGACCACTTGTACGCTGCTTGAGCAATCGGGAACCTGTTGGAAGATCTGTTGGAAATCATGCGCTTGGCGTCTTCGATGGCTACTACGCTTGGCGAGCACGAAAATGGTCACGAAAAATGAGGGCCGCCTTTTTGCGAGAAATTGAGTTTTTTTTTTACGAAATAGAAGAGGGACGGCATTCACAGACCCTATTCGCTAACCCTGACCCAACTTCCCCGATTGCATGCATTTGGAATGTTAACGTGAGAAGAGAATGGCCCTGCGAGTGCTGCTGGCAATGAACATCTGGAAGGACGCACGTGCACAGCGGTCATCACACAGGACCCCGTATGCACCACCAACAAACACGATGCCCCCCCCCAACCCTTTTAACAGATTTTTGCCAGAGGAATCAGGGAGTCGTCGGAGGATGTGAGCTTCCTGTGCCACTCCCTGGGGTCGCTAGAGCTTGCGGCGGATAGGCTAGGGGAAGCGAGGGCGGTGTTCTTGGCGGGGATCGAGAGGTATGGGCACATTCGGCGAGATAGGAGGCGGCGACTACAATAGGACGAAACTGGTCCGCCGTTGGGAAATTCGAAGGAGGCGATGACGAGAGGGCGAAACTGATCCCGCCGTTGAGATTAGCATTGAAGACAAGAGCGACTTATTAATTCATATGCATGCGACGCGTAAGAAACCTGCCTTCAAACTCTAGTACACAGCAGGAGTGACGCTCACCAAAGAAACGTCCTGAGGCTGCTGAATTGGATACTATCGACCTCGTTCTTTTTTTCTCAAGTTTTTGTCCATACGCCCGAGGCTCAGCAGGGGAAACGTATTTTTTGCATGGCCGTTTAAAGATTTGAAAAACGAGCATTCGAACTTCGACGCATAACATGTGATTCATGATGATGGCATCTATGGTGAGTGAACGGCGCGTTTGTTGACCAATAGGAGTCCCGGGATGGTGTGGCTGTTCGTGAGAATGTTTAGCTCCCGGCTAGACAAGAAAAAAGCAAGCTTGTGAATGGCTGGCTGACTCCCTTGCTTTCGACCTGCCAAGCGATCACTACCTCATTCAACATTTTTCTGCAGGGATAGTTGCGGCTGGTTCGCTTCTCTTCTCATGCCTGTATGCCTGTCTTGTGGAACCCCTTTTGGCAGGTACCCGAGCGGATCTCAGCTACTGCTCGGCGCTGGCCTGGCCATTGCGAAAATGGGCGAGCCCGACAACGCTCGCGAGTACTTCAGGAGATCAGTAGAGGTGAAAGAAGGCCTTGTCGCTGGCGTCGTGGGTGACATTGTTTGTTGCGGTTGGGTGCTGCTGTTGGATGCTGTCGCTGCGCCCTTTCCCACCGCCGTGCGTGGTTCTGAACGTCATTGGTCTACAGATACGTCCCACCGTGCGTCTGGTAGGTAATGTGCACGATTTGGTGTATTATGGCAGCATCGACGGCGCTAACCGGCTGGCCACTAGAAAGTCTCAGTGCGGCGGCTCCTTGCTGGAAAACGCTTGTGAAGGACATGTTCTAGAGCCTCGTGAAGGGTGTTTCGGGTTTCGTCGGAAGTGCCCGGGCCGTCTTTTACCCTTCCCGGATTTCTGTAGTTTCTTGTTTGTCCTTACCCTGTGTGGCGCAGCTCGCACACTTGGGCCTTCGTTTTCACCCCTTGCCTGACGCGTGTAATTTGTCATTTGTCCTACACCCCGTGTGGCGCTTCTGCTGTCTCTGATGCTCGCTCACGCTTGTCGACGAAGGCGGATCCTAGTCATGCGCACGCGTGGCAGGCGTGGGGGCTGATGGAGACCCGCGCCGGCAACTTCAAGGCGGCGCGGTCTCTGTGGGAGAGGGGGCTCAAGGCTAACCCCACTCACGGCCCCCTTTGGCAGGTGGGTTGGTGACGGCGCGTAGTGAATCAGTTGTCCTGGCTGATGTTGTTTGTTTCCCATGTCCTCTTTTTGTGAGGCGACGAAACGTGTACATCGAGCGATGGTAAGTTGCCGCGAACCCAGACCAAACACGAAATCCTCCTGTCAATATTGTACGCAAGGTGGGTAACGTCACCAAAGTATTTTACCAAAATGTTGCGTCTCACGCACAAACGGTATGGCAACCTTACCGAAACCGAGGAAACAAGACTCTGCGGTACTCACGACTCTTGACCGCTAACGGTACGTCATTTATATATCCCGTCAGGCGTACGCCGTAATGGAGGAGAAGGTGGGAGAGCCTGAGCGGGCTCGCAAGCTTTTCGAGGCGGGACTGGAGCGCTGTCCGGACCATGTGCAGCTTCACCAGGTGTGTTGTGCTCGTGTTTTTGTTCTTATTAGCATCGACCGCGCTAACCGCCTGACCAATGAAAATACGCATAAATGCGGTTGAAAACACAAAATGCTTCTTGAGGCTACGATCTGGGACCCCGTGAGGAGGCGTCATGGGGGAGGCTACGCTACTTTTCGGCCTAACGACAGATACCTCAGCAATACCAGAAGAAAATTGCACGTGTTTGCCATGGCTGCTACTGCTTTGGACGCGCGTTCGTTTCGGATCGCGTTCGTCGTCCTCCCTTCACTTTCTACCGACACCCTCGTTGCCAATATTCCCCTACTTTGTTTGTGCGTGTTTTGGAAACATTTCACAATTTGTCCATCTTTATCCACAGGTAAGGGTGCAGGATAAACTGGTGATGAGCGTTGTGTCTTTTTTTTCTTCTCTAGATAACCCTCTTCTCGATGCGTGTTTTGCCTTCTTCTAGCAAACCCTCCTCTTGACCGCGTATGTCGTGTCTTCTCTAGCAACGCTTCTGACTGCAGCCACGCGTGTACACGTTCGGCATGAATTGTGTGTCTGACCGGTCGTGTTTAGTTGTGCTATGTAGTCGTGCTGCGGGGGTGAAGTTGTTTAACATCCAGCACATGCTGTGGAGAATTTAACATTTTCCCTCTCAATTATATCGCAGTGTTTAGCCTTTTCCAGACCCCAACAAGTCGAATATCATCCACAAGGTGTAGGAAAGACTTCAACACATCAGCCCCTTCGGAACGGGGTACCATCTCCCACGGGAATCGTAGCATCTCTTTCGACACATGTTGTATTGCTATTATGCTTGGGCGAAGTACACTTTGAAAGTTGTGCTTGAAGCTGCGTCGAGACACACAGGTCCACCCCAGCCTAACCCTTTCCTTGTTTCTCGCTGCGTGGCAGGCGTGGGCGGTGATGGAGGGGATGCTGGGCGACCTGAAGAGAGCCAGGGAGCTGGTGGTGGAAGGGCTTCGGCTGGACCCTCACCACGGAGCTCTTTGGACCGTGTACTCCATAGTAGAGCGCCAGGGAGGATCCGATGTCAAAGCTAGGAAGGTGTGTATTCAGTCGTGCTCCGATAGAAAGAGGGTGGTGTGACAAAGGCCCTTGGCCCTCTTGAATCGCAGCCCCCTCTTATACCGGAATAAGAGGGTACCCGATGACACTATATCGCGGGTGGAGTCCGCGGCAACCGATTTGGACCCTCTTGTATCGGAGCTACGACTGTGGTATTGGCAGGGGTGACATTGCCAGCGGCAGCAGTTGTTCATGTATATCGTGTCCTATGCTGCTGTATCCGAGGTTGAAGCGCCAAATCGAGGCGATCTGGATTGAACGACTGGACGGCTTGTCCTACAAAAAAACGGGGGGAGTCAGAGAGATATGGTTTTGAACACAGAGGGGTTGGGGTTGCGCTTTGGCATCAGGACATGTTGCATACGCTACTCTCTGGGGTACGCTACGCTACTGGGGCAAGAAGCATTGTGGCTCGAAAGGAAAAACAAAGGATGTAGCAACACCAAATCACACGTCTAGCTTTCCACTGACCAGTATGTGCATTCCCTTAGTCGCCCACTGCCATTTGAGCGCTTGAGACATATCCCCAATGCTGTCCTAACCCTTTGGACTCCCCTTCCTCCTCCCATGGTCTTGGTGTTGATTACCCACCGTCCTGTCCCATCTGTCGCGTCTTATCCCATCCCATTTCGTCCCATCCCGCTACATCACTTCACGTCCCGTGGCGCCCCGCCACGCCCCGTCCCGTCCCGTCCTGTCCCATCCCGTCCTGTCCCATCCCGACCCATCCCGTCTCACTAGGTGTTGGAGCTGGGTGTCCGTGCATGCCCGGATCACGGGCCACTTCACCGCTGTTGGGCCCAGATGGAGCACCAGCTGGGGAACACCGCAGAGGCTCGCAGGAGGTTCGAGAGGGGGCTGGAGGCATGCCCGACCTACGCCCGGCTGTACTACGCCTACGCGGACATGGAGGCCGCCATGGTGCGTGTTTGTTTGCGGTTGGTTCCTGTGCCCCGTGTGTGCTGTGTGAAAACAAGATCTCCACAAGTTGTGGCCTAGGGGTTTTGTGTGCAGAAGCTGCCATGTGGCGGAAATGGTCCCTCCCAAATCCAGCAGAGTTGTGCATGGTGGCATATTCTCGAGTCCCCGCCACCGTTGTTGTGGTCGGTCAGCAACTTGAGGTGTGCGTGCGTAGCGGCACTGTTTTATTTATGTCTGTCTCCCTTGTGTGTGCCCGGGTGTAGGCTAGCCCACTGCTAGTTTTTGCGGAGGGGCGATCCTGCTGCCCACGCGGGTTCAACGCACCTCTGTTTGATCATCCTCGCGATACATGTGTCGTGGTTGCGTGCATTGCTCCTTTTTTCTCCTCCTCATTTGTCGCAATAATGTATCTCGCTTTTGGATGGAGAATGGTGATGCACGATAGATACAGCTGCGATGCTCCACCATTACGGGCAGGCCATCTAGTTTCGATATTTGTAACGTTTAGAGAGATTGTCAGCATGCCATAGAATACCAATAGACACGAATAGAATGTTCACGTACTCAGTTTTCGGCGGGACATGCTCGCAACTCGCCCACGTGTGACTCGTTGCTGGCCTATTCTTGAGTCACTACTGTGGTCGTATGATATTTTGTTGGCAATAGATGCGTCCATGCCTTCGAAATTTGATGATATGCACCATGATTTTGGTATGATGTGAGTTATTTTTTGTCTTTCTTTGTTCTTTCATATGTTCGTGCCGGGGTATTGTATGTGTGATTGTGTTTTCATTGTTTTTTCCGTGTTTCCGTGGTGCAGGGCAATACGGTATTCCTGGAGAAGCTGAAAGCGAGAGGGGAGAAAGCCCTCGTGGAGAGCGGGGCAGCGCCGGACAAGATTAAGGAGTTCCAACAGCAGATGGAGGCGTTCAAGGTGAGGGTATTACCGTAGGTTGCATACGCAAAATAGCACCCCCTGGACCCTCCATGCGACTCGCCTAGTACCTCACGGCGCTTCGCGCTTGGTGATGTGAGAGCCTGCCCCGGTGAGAACCCGGCGTGCTCCGGCCCGGCTTTGTATGATACCATGGTAGTGACCGTGAGAATATTGCAGGTAGCGCAGTCAGTGAGGAACTTGCCAGTTGAGAACGTCATGCTCTGTCATTTGTGCTGACGGTTGTGGTCGTCCGGCGAGCTCGCTGAACTCGAACCCCGCTGGCTAAGTGTGGATAGACACGGACACAACAGCGGAAAACACGAGGATGGTGTTGCTGCAATGTTTGTTTCCTTTTTCCTCCGCCGACACCACCAGGCAGATATGAGGCGAAGAGAAAAGGTTTGCCGCACCGCGGTTGAACGCATGCCTTTTTTTGGTGTGATGATGACCCGCGTATGTTTCTTGTTTTTTTTTCTTGTTTTTTTTTTTTGGTTCAGACCTCTTGCTGCACAGCCAACATTCCCACTACAGAGCCCAGCGCCTTACCGCTCTTTTGGTGTCAGCCAACAACTCAGTTCGACCGCATCACCGCAACTCCTTTACCACAATGTTCCGTGCCCGCTCTTCCGTTATTTGCGTGTCTGTTCTCGGCAGAGTTTCGCGCGGTTCGACGCGACCTTCAGCTCGGAGCGGATGGCGTCATCGCTGGACCAATCCTCGCTAGAAGACTTCGACTTCGACTGGTAGACGTAGGCGGCGGCCTCGACAGTTTTCAGAGTTTCGTCGGTCGCGCTGGCCATCTATCTAGTCGTGATGAGCGTCTGCAGTTCGTTTTCAGAGAGACGTCGGGTAGTCGCCGGTCGTGCTGGCCATCTAATCATGATTAGCGTCTGTTCTCTCCACAAGGCGGCGTCATTCTAGTTTTCCAGACATGGAGGGGTTCTTGTGTTTGGCCGTCGGCAGGTGCGTTTTCTTCGACGTCGCGAAACGAGGACCACTCCGGAGCTTCCTGCCTGCTACTGCTGCCGTTAGTGCGCGCAGAGACGGGAGCGGTGTGTTTGAGCAGGCGAAAATATGCGACGAGAGACTAAAAGTTCGTCTTTTGACACGGTACGCATGCGTGTGGCAGCGGGTAAGGTTGCGTTCCACACGGCTCACAGCACTGCCAACCGTTGTGCGCAGCAATTGCCGGTGTTTAGATCATGCTGATATTACTAGGGTTGGGGGAGAGCGTGCCCGGGCTGTGGGATGTCAATCGCTTGGCAGGCGGTTGCTTGGCGGGCGGTGTTGCCTGTGTTTCTTCGTATTGGTGCATGGCTGGGTATACCCGAAAAATCGGGGGTATTTTTAGATCCTGGAGGGTTTGGTAGAGAAGGGTTGGGGGCGGCGGGGAGGATTTCGAATCGGTCGCGGTGGAGCAGACGGGCGCTCTTCTGTCTGAGGAGTGATCCTGCGAGGGAGAGATTCACCGCAGAGAGGAGCGGATGCGCTAAGCCACAGAGATGAGGGGGTGATGCGCTATTTTGTTGCTCGTTCACACGATGTCGGCTTCACCTGTTCGCTTTGTCGAGAAATCATTCGTGTGACTTGCTTGCTTGCGTAAGGGTACGGCGTCATGGGTTGTGTAGCATCCGACGCGCGTGGTGCATGGTTATGGTGCATGTGGATCCGCTGACGTTGTCTGGGTGTGTGAACGGCGGCTCTCGCAGAGCACGAAAGATTGGGTTGATGTAGTACTGCATGGGAATAGTTTTTCTTGGAGAAATACAACGTGGGTCTTGAAATGGGTGTGATGATCTATCTGAACGGTGAGTGAGGTGATCGGACCAAGGGCTCTATCGTTAGTCCCATGGTGTCGTTATATCTGGCTGCTGTGTTGGTGGCCTTCGAATGGTTTCGTCATCAACAGAAATGTGGCGAAGACAGTTCGTTGCTTTCGAAAAAGCTCGCCGAGTCTTGCGGCCAATTTTGATGACGGAAAGCCAACTTTGTCCCCAGAGCAAAGTTCAGCTAGCTGTGGGTGCGGCGAGCCTCATGCTGGATTGAGCTCAGTGCAGACCAGAGACCTGACCACGCGCGAAGCACAGCCCGCCTACATGCTGATGATGATTCTGATGTGTCTGGCTTGACAAAACCACAGCACAGCTCGCATCTGACTTGTTACCAAGGATAGAAGGATAGACTTCCAACTGCTGAGAGTCCTGACAACTGACAACGATCAGACCAGATCGTGACTTTCGCTACGAGGCTCTCCGGATCACTCATACTCATGCCGAGTAAGGGCTGTTGTGTGGGCAATGCCATCTGCTGGACGTGGAACATTCAGCTCACCCGATGAAAAATTTCGAGCCTGTCTGTAGCGAGGCGGGAAAGACATAGCATACAGACTGATGATCGGGTACGCAGACCGCATGCCTTGCCAGCGGCTTCCCGCCCTTTTTTTTTGTGCCGAAGACGGCGGACAGCAGTGTAAGCTACGTAAGAGCTCAGCAGTAGGTGCAGATCGTGCCACAGAGACCGTTAACGCCAAACGGGCGCTTCTGGCCTACAGAGTCGTCACGGGAGTCTTGGCGTCTTCCTGGAGAACGACCGGTGGGGTGGAGTCGAAAACAACGGAAATAACAAAGAACAGAGACCACTTGACCAGACGATGCATGCAGTGCATCTGGAGCCCCTTGCATATTATTAGAAAGCAGTCCCACTGTCAACGAAAGGCACCAAACGGTTGAGGAACCTCTACCCTTGTCTACCCTTGTCTACCCTCCAAGAAATAATCTTAGAATGATGAGTGCGCTTGGCTATTTCCCGCTTTGCTCATAGAATGAAAACCCTATACATGTATAGGCCACGCAACGGCCCGAAGGCGGCACAACGTCCCGAACAAGAAGCCGACTGCTGTTTGGTGGATAAATTTCTTAGAAAACGTTGGCGGTGTACGAACGTCCCCGATCACGCATTGCCCAATAGCCGCCCCCACACCCCCACGCGCCCCGTCCATCGCACACCTTCCCCTCTCTCCCACACTCACATCATCCCAAGATCAGCCCCACCCATCTGCCCCAAGTGATCCTACTCCCATCGCCCTATCGACCGTCTCGTTTCATCAACGTGATCCGGAGAACGTGAGATGGTTGGGTCTACTGCGGGTAGCTTACTAAGATAATATCATGCACGTGTAAGATATAACAGGGTCGTCCGTCGTTGCTCCCCTATTGTGCGTTCTGTTTGAGGGCAGTGCGTGGGCACACCTGCTGCTGTAACCCTTCTTGCTGAGCCAATATGTTCGTACGTGCGTTGCCAACACGCCATAGGGCATGTTTGCCTTGCTGCTGTCCGGGGGCAAACGAGGACATGTAGTCTGTGTAGAGAATGTCGCCACAGTAGTGCAGGGACAGTTGGTTGCGAAACGAGGAGAACCTGCACCCCCCTCACGCCTTGCCCACTTCATGCCACCGGCTACACTGCATGCAGCAATTCGCCTGATGTAGTAAAAGTCTGTAAGCTAGCATGCTTCTTCATTCCGTCGCCGTGTTGTCACCAAAAGAAAAAACGGCGAAAAAATATGTCAGACCCGTTGGAGACCGCGATGTCCATCACATCTGTACTGTACACAGAATGGTTTTCTCATCCATCTGCGATTTGGCTCTCTCAATGGATGGTGGAGAGACACACAGGCATGGCGGTCTGCTCATTAGAAAACTACCTTTACTTACTGTAACTAAAGGTTTGTTCTGTGATGCTTTCTGATGGCTCCACTCGCACCGCTGCCGTCTTCTCGCGTTCGAACACCCGGGCTATTGTAACTGCTATGTGCATAGTCTACGTGCACCCGAGAAGATCCGAAAGAAGATCGAAAGGATACGAGAGATGGCAAACGTCAGTGCAACGGTCATTCAGTGTCAGCCTGGAGGCGAGGAGGTTCCGCCGAATACGGTACGTTCCCGCCGTAGCGGACTTGGGGCAGTCTGTCAGGCAGTTGAGTTTCTTCTGTGGTAGACTATTATTGTAGATGGCCCAGAGAATGGAGCCCCAAGCGCACGCACGAACACGTGCGTGGTGATGACAGTATTTCCCTGGTCGCAGACTGACTGGTTGCGGGACAACATTCATCCAGGGCCCCACCAGAGTTGGTCTGGCTTCGACCTGTAGGCTGTTCTACTGTTGGCGGTACTCCGTTGTTAATGCGGCGTCTCCGTGTAGACCTCCGTGGTTGCCAACAGCCTGGATTCTACACAATAGGGGGTGCAGTGTGCGATTTTTGAGGGGGACCTCATTGATTACCGTACTCTTATTTAGGAGCGCTTGAGCGCGCGAACATGTCTCCCCCTGGGTGTGAAGTGTACTGTACCATTGACCTGTACACGGTGGCGCGTACTGTACCGCAACATATGAACAGCAGGAAGTACACAGCAGCAATAACGAATGATACTTCCCGCGTGGTGCGGGCACACAAGCGAAGGGAGATGCACATGATTTTACCGCGATAATAATTAAGTCTCGAAAATTAAACAAAATGTAACAACTCATTCGATCGTTCTGTATTTATTTGTTGTCTCCGCTTCACCTCGCTTCCACGCAATAGGTTCCTGCCGGTGGTGTTCCTCCCGTGGAAGGTACTGAGGCCGAAGGTAAGGATGAACTCTTCTTGTCGGTTCTATCCAACAATTGGCTGGGCGATCTCCCATACAATTTGACAAATGTGTCCCGCTTCCACGGAAGAAGTGGTATCAGCTTCCATCTACAAAACTTCCATGGAAGCTGATACCACTTCCTCCATGGAGCTGATACCACTTCCTCCATGGAAGCTACACGTTTTGCATTTCCATGAAAGCACAAAACGTGTCTTCCATAGAAGGCGAGAATCACTTCCATAGCACTAAAGATCTTACATGTGGACGTGCCACTTCAATGAAAGTCAACTTCCACGGACGGCCCATGGGTTTCCCATGGCAGTCAAACCTTAGGCTTTCGTGGAAGCTATTCAAAACAGGTTTGGGGCAGCTTCCATAGAAGTATTCAGCCTCGGGTTAGCTTCCATGATCTTTTGGGGTAAGCGTTAGGGTTGGGGTAGGGAAGCTGGAATGACGGAATAACCACGTGTCCAGACGCTGCGGTGGAAGTTGCTTTCGGTTAGGGTTAGGGTTAGGGTAGGGAAGCTGGAATGACCGCATGTCCAGAGAAGTTGCTCTCATGGAAGTTTTCGTGCTGCCATGGAAATAATAGCCGAGACTCTGTCCAGCGACGAGCTTCCATGGAATTACACTACTTTCATGGAAGCTCATCGTCGCGCTTCTGTGGAAGTCCGAAATGCGACTTCCATGGAAGCAACGAGCGGTTAATATTGGATGCTTCCATGGAAGCGGATCGACTTCCATGGAGGAAGTGGATTAACTTCCATGGGAGGTGTTTATCGCTTCCATGGAAGCATCATGGAACCTAGAACCCAATACAGACTAACAGATTCCTTGGAAGTCAGAATGACTTCCATATGTGACTTCCACGGAAGATGGAAGCTTACTCCGATTGTCAAACAGTGTAGGGTACCCGCTTAGTATCTGTCTCAACGCGGAATTTCGTCGCTTTTCCAACATAGCGTTTGACAGCATGGATACGATATCCTTCGGTACTCTGGCACAGACAATACTCTTCTCGACTGCATGTTTCCACGAAAACCTCTTGTGATCGGCAAGCACTGGTAGGTTGGGCCCTATCCCGAAATGTAGCAATAAGGGATCATTTTTCACAAG